GCCAGGGAGGCTTAGAGGACTACGTCTCTTGTGGTTTAGGATTTTTTTTTTTATTTGTGTGTGTGTGTAAGTTCACATAATAGGTGTACATTTTGTTCATATATTTAACTCTCTCTCTCTCTTTCTATCTATCTATTTGTCTATCTATCTATATCTTTCATTCCATCTGTTTATCTATCTATATCTTTCATTCTATCTGTCTATCTATCTATATTTTTCATTATATCTATCTATCTGTCTGTCTATCTATATTATTCTGTCTTCTATATCTGTCTGTCTGTCTATCAGCCAATCAATTAATCAATCCATCTATCAATCTCTCAGTCTATCAAACTATCAATCTATCAATCAGTCAATCAACGCACAGTCCTCCTTGCCTGTAACGGTCTGATGCAGGCAGCGTGAAGGAGGACTCAGCGTAGGGATGGTCCTCCACGGTAGACGAGGTGTGCAGCCCGCCGTATCCTCCTCGGGGGCTGAGAGGGAGGGAAAGGGATGCCGTTAAGTCTATGTAGATCTAATGATAATGTCACATTACGATTTCGTGTGTGGTGGATTAATGATAACAGATAATGGGGGAAGGATTGTATATGACTGTGTATTTCCCATTTGACTTGAAAGAAATGTTTCCTCAAAAATGTTCGAAAGCGAATACTTACTTCCTAGAAATGGTGCCATAGGCAGAGTTTAATAATTGTAATGGCGATCCTCTCTCTTTCTGGCCTTGAAGGTGTTGTAATTGCTGCTGTGTGTATGGCAAGTCTAGCAGGTCCGGGTAGTGGCCGCCGCTGCCCATGGACAGCTGAGACCCCATTTGGCCGCAGCCCTTCCGCAGCAAGCCCTCTTTGCTGTCGAAGCCTTGGTCCTTCCAGTGCAGGCGGTCCTCTACTCCGCCGTCCTGCGTGACCGCCAGCTCCGACTTGGGGATCTCGACGTAGGACACCGTGCTGGGCGACGTCTGCTTCCCGTTTCGGTCCGGCAGGGGCTTCTGCAGCCGTCTCTGGTCCGACTCGGCGTAGAGGTTGGACTTCTCCAGCTCCTTCGTCGAGGGGAAGTCGTCGACGGACGCGTCCCGCAGCATCCACGACTTGTCCGAGTGCGTGGGTAGCGGCGAGGGCTCGTCGATGTCGTTGGTGGGGACGATGTGGTAGTCGGCGAGTTTCGGGTGGGATTCGCTCGAGTTGCTTGCGTGCCCTTGAGAAGACTGCGGCGTCTCCGTCTTGTTCTCCGTTTCTGGGCCTCTCCGTCGGCCGCGCTGTCGCTTGCGGAAGAGGAGGACGACGAGGAGGAAAAGGATGAACACCATCACGGCGACGACGCTCAGGAGTCCCCCGGTCATGAAGACTCGGTCCATCGTCACCAGCCGGACTTCAGCGATCTCGTTGGACACCTGCAGGGTGAGGTTGGTCCTCGACGACGCCCGCTTTGTTCTCGCACGCAGCGGTATGTCCTTGGTCCGAGGGGCGGCGCCAGCGATGGTGAGGTTCGAAAAGCGGGTTGCTTGGTTCGGCAACACGAGGTCTAGCATGCGATAGCGCTGAGAGTCACTCCCGTTCTGGAGCGGGCGGTCGCCGAGCAGCCAGGTCACGACGGCGTCTATGTCCGTTTCGATGCGGCAGGCGAGGGACACGTTCTCCCCGTGGGCAGCCAGCACCCTGGGGGCGACAGCGGTGACCTTTGGAACGCACACGAATTCGTCAAGGGTGAGAGTCTGCCAGTGGTGATCCTGCAGGCGCTTCGGCCTCAGGCAGGAGGGCGGCTCTGAGAAGGCAACGTTCCGCTCGACCATCCACTCCCGCAGAGGCCGCAGGGCGCAATCGCAGTGCCACGGATTGCCGTCCATGTGCAGCTCGTGGATTGCAACTAAAGGCAAGACGACACTGGCGTGCAACGTGGTGAATTTATTACCAGACAGCTTCAGGACTTCTAGACGAGTAAGGCCACGGAAAGCACGCTCATTAGCACTGGCGATGAGGTTGAAGGAGAGGTCCAGGCGGACGAGGTCTGGCGTCGGAGTAAACGCCGCGTCTAACAGAGTCTCTAAATGATTGTGGGCGAGTCTCAGGTCCCTTAGTCCAGGCACATCCTTGAGGGCCTCGGAAGGAACGGCGCGCAGGAGGTTGTGGCTCAGGTCAAGCTCCACCAAGTTGGCCAGCTTATTGAAGGCCCCGCTGTCCATGTGCTTCAGGTTGCAGAAGTTGAGCCACACCTTCTGCAGGTTGACGAGGCCGGTGTCGACGAAGGCGTCTCGCGGCAGGATCTGCAGGTTGTTCTTCTTGAGGTCGAGCACCTGCGTCGAGGGATCCAGGCCGCGCGGGATGTCGATGAACTCGGCGTCGGACAGGACACGTCTCCTTGCCGTCGCGCATTTGCACTGACACGGCTTCGGACACTCGCCGCCCGTGCCGCACACCACCCCCGCCCACACCCACGCCCAAAACCAGGCCCAGCGGAGAGATCTTCGGATCATGGGTGCTCCCAGGTGCGTCCTTGAGTTCAT